CGTTTCAGATGTGTGACCTGCCATCACGGCAGCATTATCGTAACATTGTGATCTGCAGTTTGTTAATGAAATTTCATCGAAATTTAATTTCTCTAAAATTGTATTTTCGATCGAGGCTGCATATTTAGCATGTATTTCAATAAAACTCAAAAAAGATTCTTTGATGGAAACTCTTTTATTCATAAAATCAACATCTACATGCCTAACGAGTTGGGACATTTGTTCTCGATGAGAGATATCAGGAGTTGAATCAAACAAAAGTCCATAATATTTATTTCTTTTGATATCGTTTATTAGTTGATTTCGAACTGTAGATGCCGGAAGATGAATGAATTCATTTTGAATCTGTGGTGACAAATATGAGAACAACAAGTTTTTCTGTTAACAAATTTTTTCATACTCTATTCTCTTAATAATAGAATCGTCGAGTAGATGTATTAAGTAATCTTATTTGATTTATTACTTACCAAGAATGCCTTGAACTTGAAAGGTAGTAACATAGTGAAATATACAATATAATTTATGCTAACATTAAACTTATATATAACATTTAATATTTAATAACATTTAATTTTTATCCTAAGCAGAGCGCGATGACAAGGACGTGAATTAAATATTGAAATATATTTAATATGAATATGAATTTAATATAATATTTAATATGAATTAAATATTATGAATAATATTTATGAATTAACATTTATTATATTACACTGGCACTAATTTAAAATATATTTTACAGAAATCAATTATAATAAAAAAAAATTATCCAGCAATTTTTTGTTTTGCGGACCATTTGGCGCCCCTTTGTGAGTAGCGCCCGGGGCATGATGCCCCCCCTTGCCCACCCCTCGCTACGCCACTGTAACTAATGATCAAAAGACAGAACATCCAACCATTCTTTTTAACTGGTATGATACATTCGAGTTAATAAGAATGGTTGGATGTTATGACAGGTGGGCACAAACACTCGGAAAAGAAATTTCCAAACTCGTTTTATCGAATTTCCATGATTTTTATACAGGGTGGCATGCATTTTATTAAATATACAGTAATGCCTGATTCATAAATATAATATATATTACGAAACTATTGCATGTGTCAACAGAGTCGAAATTTTTTTTTTTTTTCAAAAATGTTGAAAGACCAATTTTTTTCACCCCACTCAAGAGGACTACTAAGACAGTACCTGAGATGGTACCCTTCTTTCTAAATTTCCATACTACCACTAAGAAGAGGATTTTTAGCTACGACCAATTTAATGTGCATACAGGGTATCAGCTACATTTTAGATTTTCAAATCCATGACATTTCATGAATAATTCCAAGAGTTTTTCATGACTTACCGAAATTACTAGTTTCTCCGCAAAAATACAATAAATTAAAAAAAGCATTATAATATTATTAATTGAAATGATAGGCATAACCAAAACTGATATACTCTGCATCTTCATAGTTGTTGACTTTAAACTTAAAAAACAGAGTAAGGAAAGAGTTGAAGCAATAAAATAGCTGGAAAAAAACATAAAAGCAAATAACTAAATACTGTCAGATATGTGTAAAAAAATTCTGAAATCACAGAAGTTTAAAAGATAATTCGCTCTAGAAATGATGTTCCGTCTTTCGTTTTTTGAAAGAACACCATAATTTTTAAAGAACAGGATAAAAACATTTTACATTTTAACAGAATATGACTATGAGTGGGGATTTTGCTACTAATTTAGATATTTAGAGCATCGGAACACTGTGAAATTAGGGTAAATTCCACTTTGAATATGAGTTTTTTTAGGTGACCTAAACCCATGACCCACCATGATTTTTTTTTAGAAAACAGTTAAAATCATGACAAATTTTGTTCAATACCGAAATCCATGACTTTCCAGGAGCACAGATACCCTATGCATATTTTGTGCATACACGCTAGCTGTTTCGACACCAGCCAGGATTAAACTCATGACCTCCAGCTTTTCACCAGTAGTGAGAGTGACGCCTTAAAAATCGTGCCTCCAGAGTGCTATCTGTGGGTGTCATTGAAACCAGGAGTGTATTTGGACCCCTGATGAAGATAATATTCTCACTCACTTCTGTTCCTTGTGAAGAGCTACCAGATTTTGCTCATGCTCTTCTCTCCACATTTTGAGTTCCATTTTCATAGAGTCTAGATCTTCCTGCAAGAAGTCCAGCATACGGCCCAAAGGCACTGCAGTTTTGCTCAACGACTGGACGAAGCTGCGTAATTGTCCAAGCTCCTTCGATGCAGAATCCCGTTCATGGGCCCTGGTCACATCGGACATTTGGGATCTATCCTGCTCACAAATACACAAAGCATAAATAAAAATAATTCCGTACTAAATGTAAATATTGTAAAATATCTTAACCTTTTGCTTACAGCTGGTATAAACTGATGTTCTAGAATAGGTCAGGGTTGCCACACATATCTAAAAAAAATTCCCTGTGCTTGTCCTGCACATATTATACACGATATATTATGAGGAAACACACATTCACTGTGCTCTTGTGTGCTTTACTCAGGGTTGCTTTTAGTAGCTAAAAGCACGAAAATAGTTGCCAGAAACTATGAAAGTAGTTGCCTAAATGATAACAAAAAGTTTTCAATATGACTAAAATTTTATTAAATGGCTTAATTGTCATATACCATGATCCATTTAGTCAAGTTGGTAGTAAATATGATCATTTTCATATAAACGTTAGTATTCTAGCCTTAAATTTTTACATCAAAAAATTAGTATATTTGCAGAAAATTAAATATTTTTAATTACTAGAATTCATTAAAAAAAATACTTTTTCATTAAAAAAAACAAACATAATTTTTCTAAAAATTTTCCCTTTTATCAATAATTGATTTAGCAGATATATATATATACACATATTGTGAAAAGTTAATACTCAAACTCGAAATTCACGCATCATAATATACTAAAAATTGGGTTTTTTGAAATCATGCAGAATTTCGTAGCAATAACCGTTGAAAAGGTGATGAAGAAACAAAAAAGACTTACAATATAATCTGTGCAAATTGAGCGCATTAAAAAATGATTTTTTATTATTAAAAAGTGTAATTAATTTTTTTTTTATTTTTTAAGAAAAAAAATTTCATTGCGTTCAAAAGCTTCCGCAGGCTGCAGGTTGTCAACCCAATTTATGCTAAAAAAAAAACCATCAATGTGTAATTAAATGTTTTTTTATTTTTTAAGAAAAAAAATTTCATTGCGTTCAAAAGCCTCCGCAGGCTGCAGGTTGTCAACCCAATTTATGCTAAAAAAAAACATCGCTAGGAGCACAGAAAAGTATCCCAATAGTCTCATTTTCCTGAAAATAGCTGTTTTTTTAGGCAAAAAAAAGTTGCCATAGTCACCTCAGGCCAAAAATAGTTGCAAATAGTCACATTTTAGTTGCCTATAGCAACTCTGTTACTACGATAACAATGCCAGTTTTAGTTGCTGAAAAAACTTGAAGAAATAAGGAACAACTCAACAAAAAACAAATAATGTTATTCTAAATTAAATAATTTAATATAGCTGAACTATCATCTTTATATATCCCATAGATTACACTTTGAGAGATCTGTATTTTTTAAAAGACAAATTCCCTGTTTGAGGGAAAAATTCAAAACTTGCTGCATTTTTCCTGTTACATTAGATGATTTTTAAATTCTCTGTATTTACCAAGTTTTCCCTGTGGAGTGGCAACCCTGCAAGTTCTATCAGAGGCCATAAGCAAAAAGTTAATGAAATTATTTAATAAGGCTTTCATAATAAACTATACGAGTGCCAAACAAAGATGACAGCTTAGTATGGCACTGCCAAAGAAGTTGAAAATAGAAATATGAAATGTTATGTGAAGAACCCATTTTTGAAAATTTTTAAAAGTACCAGAAATTTGCACAAGAAAAAAGTGTATGTTATTAAGAATATACCAGCAGAATATTATTATCGTTTTAATAAAATATATCAATGCAAGATTTTGTATATTTTTTTTTAAAATTGTGAGAATATAAATCTCGTTGCATGATTTTTAAATTTCGTCAATATGAATCTCGATGTGAGGCTTTTAAATTACATGTGAATGCTAATGGGCGATGTGCAATTTTAATTCTCATGAGAACAGTAACACGATGTGTAATTTTTAAACTGCCTTAATAAGTAAAGCGAATTGTACTTTTAAATAGTGTGAATTCAAGCGCAAAGTGTGAATGATGCGCAAAATTATTACTTTACTACAACACATTAAAACTTTCTAATTGACGGTATAGTATGGCAGCTTTGCTACTGTATACCTAATTTATATAGCCACAGAAACAAAATTAATTTCTCTTTCAAAAGACAGAAAAGAAAAATCTGAGTTATAATTTTTATAGATTTGAGTAGAGTTGCTAAAGATACAAAACTTACAATGTCAACTTTTTTAGTTGGTGTGTGTTGACTACCCCCTTCCAAGTCTTTCTTGGTTTCCAGTAACTTTTTCACTAGGCTTCCTATAATGACATACATTCAGCTCATTAAGTTAAAAAAAAAAGTAATATTGAATGTTACAATACTGAAGTAAAATTACACTTTGACTTTTTCATGATGTTCAAATTAGTCAGTACCCATCACATTTTGACAGATACACGATTGAAATGGGCCTACCTATCAAACTTTGACTATTATAACATTGAAATGATATTAGAATGAGTTTACACCAATCAAATTTGAACAGTTATGATGTTTAAATGAGTCTACGCCCATCAAATTTTGACTGGTGTAAATAAGTCTACATCCACAAAATTTTTTACTATCACAACGTTGAAATAAACGCACATTCATCAAATTTGGACAATTATGACAATGTAAATAGTCTTAAATCACCAAGTTTTGACTATTACAGTGTTGAAATGAGCCTATTTCCATCAAATTTTGATTGTTATGATATTAGAATGAGTCTACAACCAATAAATTTTGCTTGTTATGATGTTGAAAAGAAGTTACAACCACTAGATACTTATTTCTTTTATTAAATCACTTAATTAAATTAAGTTCGTATTACGGACCACCCTGAATAACTTTTCATCCAATGATCGGATCATCAGGTTCTATGACTCAATCTTACTGGTTTGAGGGGGTAACTTCAAATATGCTAATTATTTAGTGCAGACTATAATTTAAGTTACATATTCAGACACAAAAACATACTTTTTCAGAACATACCTTTTTTTCAACAGGTTCGGATTTCTGACCCCTAAAACGTAGGGGGTAGCCGCAATCTGTGAGCTATGGTCCCAAAGGTTTGGTTAGGAGAGACCTACAAAGTGTGGACCCCTTAATGCTAATTTTACTTTTTGCATAATTCGCTATCTGCTGAGACATTTTTGCACGCAATTATAAAATTCGTTTATACAAAGATAAGTCCATGCAAAAAATAACTTTAATAAACATTTATTATTTTATTTATTAAAGGTTGAAAATATCGTGAATTGTGAGGTATAATTTATTTTTTTTGCATCATTTTAAAGAACATAATTTTGTATGGCAAATAACAAAATTTAAGCAAAATCGGTTGAATAGTTCCTGAGAAATTGAATTTCAGCAAAAATTTGTTTACCTTACAATTTAACATTGTTTTCGACCATTAAATGAAATAATAAATATTTACTTATTATTATTAATTGCATAAAATTATCTTTGGATAAATGGACTTTATAATTACACACAAAAATATTTCAATTCGCTAAAAATGTTTGAGGTCACCCACCCCGAACCATTAAGATTTAGTTCTAGAAAGTGAAGATTCGATCAGTAGAGCAAAAGTTATTCAGGGTGGTCAGTTTATTTTTTGGGTACAAAAAATTTTCATGTTTTTTTCAACACTTACCAATTAAAAATAAAAGAGCAGTAAAGGGTAATCAATAAAACAAATAAGATATAAAGGACTGTTTGCTAATGTACAGAAATATATTTGTACATACCTTTATCTTCATCTGGTGTAACAGCTGATGTAGTATTGGATGTCTAAGAAGAAGAAAAATAAGATATAATCAGTTATTGAGAGATAGTTTATGACTGGTACTAATCAAATACAACTCAGCTGTTAAAAATATCATGTAATTTTGCGAATACAGATTTCTGAAAAAATTCTATTTTTATTCACATAACTGAGATTTTAATAACATTAAATGTATGCGGAAAGGCCGGGATAGCCTGGTCGGTAGGGTGCTGGGCCCATGTCCAAGAGGTCGTGGGTTCGATCCTCGCCGGCCGAAGACTACCCGTGTAGTAAATGGTGACTGATGCACATTAAATCTGTCGAGTCTCAAATTCCTCCATGTTCCCATAACAAATCAATACCTCTGGGGGTACTGATCCAGGAGTTTCCTTGTCTTCTGGATTGGTTCAAAATTACAAGGCTACGGAGTTGAACATTAGTAGTCGTAAACCCATGAAATTGGGTCAGCTGTTCAACGACGGTTATAAAATAAAATGTATGCGCAAAAAAAATTACCAAGAAAGCTTATCTTAATCTGATCATTTGTAATTCCTCACCATTTAATACTACTGTATATTTCTGAATATAAGCCGAAAATTTTTAGAAAATTTTCAGAACTGAAAGTTGTGAAATCAGCTTGTAACAGGATTCCTCAACTTAAAAAAAATCCAGGAGGACATCTATTACAAAAATACATCTGGTTTCCCAGTAAATATTGCAAAATATACAAAACATAAAATAACAAAGGAAAACGGGATGCCTAAATATAAAATTTGAAAGAGAAAGACTTAAAAAGACAATTTGAAAGAAATAATATTATCTTTTAATCTTCTAGCTAAGCTATGTTTAGGTGAATGACAATACACAAGCAAAAATCCAATACATTCTGCATCAGAATCAGATTCTCGGTAAAGTTTCGCAAATTTCAGATTTTCTAGGTAAAAAAATATTATTTAATGAGGATGGGAACATTACAGCTTGACTGAAATGTGAAATTTTTTAAAACAAATAATTGAAATAGATGTTAGAATTATTTAATTCAAATCTCAATAACTGATTACTGTTACTGACAATTTTAAGACTGGTTATTTTCTAGGTATGATAAAGGAATATTGCAGGTTTTTGTAAAAAAATTGCAACTCTCCCTGATTTTTGGAGTTAAATTAAAATTCCCTGACAATTCCAGGTTAACCCCTGTGCTCCCTGAGTCGTGGGTACCCTATCTTTCTTTAACTTTATGAGGGTTTTCCTCAAATTTTCCAAATGGAAATTGAATATCGAGAATGACTGTACCTGTACTTCTAAAAGTTCTTGAGGCTCTGTTTCCATAACAATAAAATTATCTTCATCTTCATCTGACTGTTGACCTTGGTCTAAAATTACATTTTCAACAGGTTTTGCTGTAGCTGGACGGAGGCTGAAATATATAACAAATACTTTTACTGAAACACAGTAAATAAATACATGGATACATATTTTTAAAGAATATTTAACATTATAAATAAAAATGGAATAAGATTTAGTTCTGATACAAAATATTGCCATTAAAATGTACTGTTCTGAAAGTAAAAATCGTTTCTACAATTATGACAAGTATTGTGGATACAAGCTTTAAAACCAGCACACAAATAACTAAACAAAAAATTGCAAATTTTCAACAATTTAGATCAGATGATTTATGTAAAAAAAAAAAAAAAATCAATCAAATCAATAAAAGAATAAAAAAAATGATTCGGCTTAGTTTTTTAATAAAAATAAATTTTTTTAAAATAAACATAAATAGCATTTTTAAGCACACTTAAAATTGAAAAAGAAACAAAAATAACTTCAAATTTTTTCTTAAAATAATGCAAAGATAAAATAAAGATAGCATAAATTTGTAAATAGCAGTTATTGGACATCTTTTGCAAATTTGGTTTTTACTATGAAAATGAATTTGTACGAAAGATTCTTTTATGGTTCAGTACACATAACACACAAAAAAGGGAGAATAAAATTTGACTAATCCACTAAAAATAAAACAGAGATACTTAAATATGTTAAAATTGTGTTTTCAAAAAATACTTCATAAGGATTTACTTTTTTAGAAAACCTTATTTTTTGATATGTTTACTTCAGTTTAGGGAAAAAAGTAATCATTTTTTTAATAATTTTTTCACACCTTTAATCATTTTTTAAAAATATTATAACAGCTTGAGAAACACAAAAATATGTTATTGTAATGACTGGATATTCTTTCAACAAAGTAACAATGTTAAAGTAAGTACTCTACAATATTTCACAAATGTAATTTAAAATTTAAAAGATTAAAGTGTAGTATTATAATTTATAGTTTAAACAAACTTAAAACTTCTGTATCAAAATGTAGTGAGAAAAAGTAACAAAGACAAATTATAAGTCTGATCAGATTTTTAGTAAAAAGCACTGTTTTTGTCAAACTGTGGGTCCCTTTTTTGTGAAAAATATTAATATTTGTCTTTTAAGATGTTTTAGGATTTTAATTGTAAGCAGAGATCTGTTTAGAATTTGGGTCTGCTAACGGACACTTCACAAAATATCTTTTCATAAAAACGGACGCTTCACAAAATATTTTAACTTAAAAACGGATCCTCACAAAATGATTTTTCTTTTAATCGGACCCTTCACAAATTGGTTTATCTTCATCATTGTTTTATTAATTGAATAAATCCTTCCCAGGGCAGAAAACAAGAAAGATGGATGTAAACGAATTAAGTTTCGTTTTCGGCAGACGATTCTTCCATTATTCGTCTGAAATAAATATTCTGCGTTCATCAGTATAGGCTAAGTACCAAATATTTGTATGTTGCATCTCTAATTTAGAAGCAGCAACTGCTGTTCATTTTAGAAAATTAAAATTTTTCATTATAATTTTACAGTGTTGAGCATAATCTTGTATCTATTTACAATTTAAAACCCCCTTGAAAAAGTTTTTTGCAATATCCGGACCCTGGTTGAAAGAATGTGAGTAATTTTTTCACAATTTCACAAAAACAGGACCTTTCACAAAATGTCTGGACAGACAGCAATGCCTGGTAAGCGAATATAGAATTATTATGCTTTGCCCAATAAAACTATAACAGAAAAAGTAAAAAAATAAAATAAAAAAAATCTTTTAATATTTTTAAAAATAAAGACTAACTGCTACAGTACTATATTTGAAATTTTTATTAGGATTCAAATTTACCCTTATTATTAAATTTACCTTCACACTTGTGCCTGATTAATTAAAATCGCAACATTTCATTAAAACTAAATAATTCTGCAATGCATATATTTAATGAATTTATGCACCTCGATCACATGCGTAAATTCATTTCATAATAATTTCAAAAAAACATTCGTTAGAGCTCTTCTACAAAAGAGCAGATTTAATGCATTGTTCAAGCCGAAATAATCAGTCATAAAGTCAAATCATAATCATAAAGTCATTTAAATGCATTTACAAATAGTTAATTATGAAGATTAATAATTATAAGTTTGTGAAGGGTTAATTTTTTAAAAGGAAGAATTTTACTGATTTCCATTTTTAGAGCAAATTATTTTGTGAAAGATCTGTTAACAGATCCTAAATTTCTCATAAATAAACCCTTGATAGTATGTACCCATATATGTTTATAACGTTAAAAAATATATAACATAAAAATACCAGTATGTGATTGATACAAACAATGAGAAATACAGTTTTGATATGACATTTATTCAAATTGTCATAATTATAAAATTTAAAATTCTTTTGACGCTTCTTTCTACTTTTGGTCATACTACAATAATCCCTTTAAATTTTTTTTAAAAAAATATTTTAAATCACACGTAGAGAATTTTCTTTTTAAAAGAAAACAAATCAGTTTTTTGTAGCAAACTAAAATATTTTATTTCATGCACCACTTTTGCAATAGATGACAAACCAGTTATAACAGCTGCAAATGCTAAATAAGAATTAAATCTGTCTCCTCCCCCTTTCTTTTTAGAAAAACAAAGAGTATTAATTAAATTAGGAATTCTAAACCAACATTTTTAAAACAATAATCAAAACAAAATATTACCTCGGTTCTTCACTTTCAACAACATTTCGGACTCTTATTCTAGGAGGAGCAGGTCGAGAACTGGACGGTCTAGCTGATGGAGGCCTGGCTGAAGGTGGTCTAAAGCTTTAAATAGTTAAAACTGAATTAAAATTTTAAAATCAGCATATAAATTGAAAGAAATTTTTATTTATTTAATACAGTAAAATCTCGATACAACAAAATTTTGGGGACCAAATAAATATATTGTTTTAAGAGAGATATATTGTTATATCGAGAGCCTACATACTTTGGGGATACCATAAGATTTCTTTTTAAATTTTAATGTTATATATGTATTAACTATAAATATATTTATATATTATGCAAAAAATTAATTTGCTGAAAGTTAATTGCACTTAATTATTAAAAACAATTGAAATAATTTCAGAAAATAAGATAAGACCTGAAAACTGTTTTTATTGAAAATAATCAGATATTTATTTTGTTTATTAATTTTTTTTTGACTGTCAAGTCAACCAACGAAGTATGCATTGAGTCAAAAGCACATAAACAATTTTTGTTTGTGAGTGGTGCTCCCCCCTACCCTCTACAGAAAAAATTCTCTTTTAGGTGTTAATGTGATGATTTGTGACTCATGATCAGCTGTAACAAGAAGGAAATTCAATCATGTAGGAATGTTACATCTGTGACTTCTTAAGAGACAGGGAAGCAATTCTAATAATGTAAGTTCTTGGGGTGGTCAGCCGGGAGTCTTCTCATGTCAGAAAAGATTGAAAAAATGGCAAAAGATGATAAAATACGATTTTTTAACATTATTTGAAAACCAATAATAAATGACGAAAATAAGGTTAACAGTTGGAAAAAAAATCATTTTACATAGTTTTTTACTTCAGAGCATATCGTGATATTGAGAGGAGCATGATATTAATTCAGTTGTTGTATTGGATATCGCTACTACGATATTCCAATACAACAAGCTGTTGTATTGGAATATCGTAGTAGCGAGAGTTCACTGCATTAAAAACAAATCAAAATGACTGATTTCCCTCTTCAGACATTGCAAAATAATAAAAAACATATTTACACCAAGATAATTTTACAATAAAATTTACTGTTAGCAAGTATATTATGTGAAATTAGATAAGATACCTAGGCAACAACATATTTTCAAAGTTTTCAGAGCTACCAATGCCATTCATCATAACAGGTTGGTTGGAGAGATTGGTATTTGAAGGTTCAGTACCTGAAAAGGTCAAAATAAGTTTCAATCAATGAACTTTTATAATAAAATGAAAAAATTCGAAATATAAATACAGTTGGTTGGTTTATTGATGACACACTAAGGACTGGAAAAAAAATCAACAGTTGGAAATATTTTCCTTTATTTATAACTTGCAATATCTTTATCTATAACATCGCCTGAATATTTTTTATTAATCTGGTTTTATTGATTTCCTGCCACGATTCCATATCATTTTCAACCCAAGAAAGATAAATGTAATCACTTTTAGCCTTAATGTTTACTAACTAAACTAAAAGTCTAACTAACTTACTAAAGTAACTAACTAAAGTAGTACAACCAAAAAGTAAATTTCTTAAACAAAAGACAAAAATTTATGTATACAAAACACTCCTACGGCCTGTGATCCCATATGGTAGTGAGTGCTGGACTTTTAACAAAAAAGAGGAGAACAAATTGCTGATTTTTGAGAGAGGGATACTTAGAAAGAAGAATTTTTGGTGCAGTCTTTGAGAATAACAAATGGCGCAGCCTTTACAATCATGAGTTATATAAAAAGTATAAACAACCAGATATAGTTCATGTTATTAAGGCCAATAGTATTCAGAAAAAGGGGTCGTCCACTGACAAGGTGGCTGGACGCAGTTGAGAGGGACCTAAAGACAATAGGATTAACTAACTGGAAGGCCATGGCACAGAACAGATTAAGATGGCAAAAACTTATTGGGATGGCCTTGGCCTGTCACAGGCTGTAGAGCCCAAGAAAAAGAATTTTCAAAGTGGAGGTGAATCGGACTGTATTATATCGAATATAACACCTTTACAGAAATTAGAACTTATTAGCTTAATGAATACTTTACCTACTCAGGATCGGAAATTAACATTAATAATTATTAATGTTTCCACCACATTAATTCGCACCTCTGATTTTACAGATGGTTTAGTGGCTTGAGGAAATATTTAAGATCGGATCAGTAGGAATAAATGGTTAATTCGACCTATACTAACTCGTGCTTCGAAGACATGCATAACTGCCAACATTGGAGAAATAAAACAACGCAGATTTTCATAGCGGCACTTTTTAGGCTATGAGTAAGTTTTGATACATCATGCATCATCATGTAAGTCAAAAAGAGAAACTCAAAATTGGAAATAATACAAGCACTTACATTTGGCGAAGAAAAAAATATGCATATAAATCTTAATCTGAAGAAGATTTTTTTAAAACATTATTTATAATTACTTAAACTATAAACACTCAAGAAACTGCAGTACTGGCAATAGCGCCATCTGTTGAGGAATAAGAGAAGTATTTTTGCCATCAATGGACATTTTACCGCCAATTTTTAAAAAAATTTCTTTAACAAATACAGAGAAATTTGAGAATATACGGGTAAACAGGAGATCGTAAAATACAGGAGTCTTTGTTAAAAAACAGGAGACTTGGCAGGTATGGATAATGACACAGAAATACTGGCCATTTTTGAAAGGAAAATACTTCGAAACATTCTAAAAGAAACACAAAATAATGGCATTTTAAATCGAAGTACAAGTTCACAATTGTATAAAAGTTACAAGTTACAAAGAACCAGATGTCATAAAAATTAAAAAATTACAGATTAAAAAAGCCAGGACTCCTCATTAGAATGGAAGGAAACAGAAATGCCAAAAGGACATTTATGGCCAAACCATATGGAGTTAGAGGAAGACCAAAACTACAGTAAAATAATCGTAAAACTAATAACTAGAAAAGATGGAAATCTGTTCTTGAGAAGGCCACCACTGAAAAAGAATCAGAATGTTTCCATTGGAAAGGCTAGTGTAAGAAACAACTTTGTGTTTAGTGTAACATCTCATTAGTGCTTTGAAATTTTGTTGCAGTGTATAGATACTGACCACTGAATTAACTTCCTTCCCTAGAATACTAACTACGTTCCTATTATTGAATCCCTGTGATCAAGTCATTGTGATTCTTATAACATCCATCGTCTACCCATTACTATTTTTCATCACTATTTGCTTACTACTCTTTATCTGGAAGTTAATTAATCAGTCAAAATTTCACCAGTACTATTTTATACATATATTGAACAAGTGTCTCATTACACTCATACAATAGAATAGGCAAAATGTATATAACTTTATGCTACATAACATTTCACATAACAACATTTCACAAAACATTTCACAAAAATTTAAAGTTTTTATAAGGGTAAAACAAAGAACAAAACAACTTTGAAATTAAATAATAGATCTATGTTTCGTAGAAAATGTATATTTAAAGCAGGCACATACCTGATATATATAAAAATATTATTTTTGCTTTCATTATTAAATAAAATAATAAAAAAACAATGCATTAAATATAAACAATTGTGCATAACATAAAGAAATTTAGAGTTACAAACTCATTTAAATTATAAAAATTTATTGGAAAAATTAAAATTATTAATATTTCTATAACTTTTACGATTTTAACAAACTAATTACAAGATTTTTTTAAAAATTAAAATAAGGTATAGGAGAAAATGTGTTAAGCCATTAATTTTTAGCAATATATGAAAATGCTACTATTATTCTTTGAATATATTTAATGATAATGACTAAAAATTCAGGACTATTAAATTTAAATCACTTTCAACTTTTCTTTTATTCAAAACTAATTATATATAGAAATGCAATTAAAAAAATTATATAAAAAAATAAATTTAAAGATTTTTTCTTAATTTATTAACAAAGACAAAATCTAAAATTTTACCTTCTGTATCAGCACTGCTTTCAGCTAATTAGGAAAAAATATAAATTAATTATAAAAATAACGATAAAAAGCAAATTAAATTTTTTAAAAAAATTATCTACTTACAGGGTTTTGTTCTTTTACTTCTTGCTGATGGTGGACGGGCACTTCGACTTGAATGAGAGCGATGACTTTTTTCTCGAATAGGCTGACAATCATTAAAATAATTTAGTTAAAAAATAAATAAATGAAAAACACGCTATAACATCAAATTTCTATGACCGTATTTAATTGGTTACAGCTCATCAATATAAGCATATATTATTTTAGCAACATTATCTTTAGGTTTACACTTAATCTGATGATTCTACCACAGTAGTTGAACTAATTAACCTTAAGTATTAAATAGTTTAATAATTAATATGTAATAAGTCAATATTTAATATATTAACATGTAATATGCATAAATTATATTAATATGTATAAGTTAAATAATAGTTAAATAATCACCTTTTCACTAAGAGAATCTACAAATTCTGATTCCCCAACGTCATCCTAGAAGAGAAAAACACAAGTTAATTTAAATGCTTATAACATTTAACTATAAATTATAATTAATTGCATTCTATTGATGACTCTACAATGCACTTAAGCTTAAAATACAGTGAACTCTTGCTGCTACGACATCCGATACAACAATAACTCCCTCTATTACAATGTTTCGTGGTCCTGGCGAACTTGCATATGAATTAATGATATCCACCTCTCAATATTGCGATATTTTCGGAAGAAATAAACCCCTGCAAAACTCTTTTTTTTCTCCATCAAATGTCAATCTCATTTTCTTTACTTATTATTGGTTTTCAAATGAAGTAAAAAAGCTTATTTTATCACATCTTGCCATTTCCCCCAGTTTCTCTTGATAAGAGAAGTCTCACTGCTCATTATGTACTTATCTTATTTCTTTTCCCAACAGTGAATGGCTTTTGTATTCAGATTTCAATATCCCACCCTGGATGTACATAGACCAACCCAAGACCTTCCATTCTTAGAATTGCCTCCCTTATCTCTTAAGAAGTCACAGATGTAACATTCTTATCAGATTTCATATTAATCCCCTTTATAATTACCACTCTGCAAATTAAATTTTTAGATAATATATAAATAGATTTACAGTTAATACATATATAACATTAAAGTTGAAAAAAAAATAAATTATTGTGTCCCCAAAGTATGTAGGCTCTCGATATAATAACATATCCCTCTACAACAATATAATTATTTGGTTCCCAAAATATTGTTGTAGCGAGGTATTACTGTATATAAATATTAAAATATGATTTTTTTATATAATATAGTCATTGCAAATTATTATGCTAAATAGCATAAAAAGTAGTGCAAATTGTTCCATTAGACAAAAAATAGTGAATGGCAGAGAATTATATTTACTAAAAACATTGTGATATTAATTATTTTTAAATAATTTGAAGCAGTAAGACCAGAGATGATTCATATTTGGGTAAGGTTCCCAGAAGAATAACTATAATTGCACCATTAAAGTGATGTTAAACATAAGGAAAGTACAAGTTACCCAATCACTATGGCAGACGAGAAAAGGGAATTAAAAAAGTGCTTTTCTTTTTCATCCAAATGAATGGTATTGCACCATATCATAAACATTTTTGGCAATTATTATTTAAATTTATAATAAAAATTGTGTTCAATTTAAGATTATGCTGAAAACCGCCGATCTACAGTTGCTGCTCTACTCAAGTCTGCAGATAATTAGACGCACGGCAGTAAATAACATTTCTAAGTAATATCAATAATGTTATAATTCTGACTATTATTAGAAGCTACAATTCACATAATCGGCAAAAGGCATCACTTTTATATGAAATAGATATATTTTATGCAAAAAATTAGGATTATTTTTAAAGAAAAATATAAAATCCTGTACTTTTTCTGACATTAAAAAAAAGGTTTAAGTGGAATACAAAAAAAAAAACAAAAAAAAAAACAGCGTTTTAATTAAAAAACAAATATTTTATATAATAATTACAAATAGAAAACAAATTAAGATAAGTAAATTACAAAAAAAAAGAAATCTTCCTTGTATTAAATTTCTGCAAAGTAAAATTTCTGCACTTTCTTTTGCGCTTTATTCAGGTTTTTTTTTTTTTTTTTTTTTTTTTTTTTTTTTTTTTTTTTNTAATAATTAAAGCAGACAGAATAGTAAATAAAGTCAGGATTAAGTAGCAGTTTCTTTTTCATAGCACTCTTAAAACTACTAATTGTGAAAAGTAAATTTTTTTTATTTTAAATACATTATAAATTTAATATTCTTTTTAAAAGTAAAAAAATCTTAAAAGTTTGCTAGTTACACGGTATCTGCTACATTTTAGATATTCAAATCTATGAATTTTTCATGGCTTAATGAAGTTACTATCTTCTCCGACAAAAACACAACAATAAATTTAATAATTCTCCTTCATCCGCTCAAGCACGCAGAATCAGTCTTTAACCGCTGGATATCATTGCTGGCCACTCTCAAACACCTGTGGCACAGGGTGCATAGCCAAATTATTCAATAAAAAATAGCACCTTTTAAGCACTAAAAAATATTTTTAAGCATTTTAAAAAATATCATTTTGAAAAAGGGAAAATTAAGCACCCTTTAAAAACACCCAATGAAAAAAGCACCTTTAAGGGCTTCTAAAAAATGAAAATCAAAAATAAGCACCTTAAAGCACTTTTTAAAAATGCTACGCACCCTGGTGGCAGAATCCCAGGCGACATGGCGACATTGTCACAGAACGCAAGTGAGTTCTTCAGAAAGACAAAAAAATTTTTTTTGGGGGGGGGGGGAAGTTAAAAATTTTAGTTTTCTTTTCTGCAGAATTTTTTAAGACGCTTTTTTTCTTCAGAATATACTCTAAAGATACTTTTCTTTTTTCATCGGAAAAAGAAATAAATCCTCCTGGTTTTTCTGTTCTCCTTTGGGAATAAAAAAAATTCGCCAATAAATGGCTGTTTCAGATAGAATTTTAAAATGATAAAATAAAAAAAAAATTCTGAAATCAGGGAAGTTTAAAATATAATTTGCTCTAGAATGATGTTCTTTCATTCATTTTTTGAAAGAACACTATAATTTTTAAAGAACATCACAAGAAAATTTTATATTTTAATAAAATGTTCTCATGGTATTCTTTAAAAAGTGTGAGAGGGGATTTTGTTACAAATTCAGATATTTGGAACACTGTGAAAATTAAGGAGGTAAATTCCATTTAAAAATGAGATTTTTCAGAGACCTATATCCAAGACTTTCCATGATTTTAAAAAAATAAAATGAATAGTTAAAATCATGATACTTAATAACAAATTTTAATAATAAGGATATCCATTACTTTCCAGGTGCGTTGATGCCCTGTAGTTATTAAATCTTTAAAAGGTAGTTTTCATTCCTTTAAATTACTGTTATAATAATACATATAAAAAATCATGCTAACTTTACATCTTATTCATTTAAAAAAAACAGAATAGATCCAATTAAAATAAAATACCACTTACTTTTGAGTGTGCATCTCCATTCATCATACTAGTAGATGGTTCACTAAGATTAGTTTCTAAAGCAGGCACATGGTTTTCTACATTATTTAGTTCATGATCAGTGGCAACCGCAAAATTTTCAGTCTTGTTTTCTTCTTCTTCAGGCGGAGGAGGTGGATCTTTAGTTTTAGAAACTCTATCCTTAGAACTCCTTTTAGAATCTTCTGTTTTTTGCTTTGATCTATCTTTGGATTTTTCTCTGTCTTTTCGAGATTCTCGACTTTTGTCTTTGGATTTATCACTGTCTTTAGATTTGGTTGCATCTTTATTTTGACTAGATGATGAAGAGCTTTTTTTTACAGGATCAAGTGTTTTCGTTAGAGATCTTGAATGGGACTTTTCACTTGTTTTATCTTTCTGAAATTGAATAAATTATTAATCAAATTTCGTAAACTTATATCAGAAAAAAAAATTAAAATAACATATTCACTAACTATGAAAATAAATATTTTAAATCACTTGAAATAAATTCTTATACTTAATATTTATATGTTACAGATACTTAGTTTTAATTTACAAATTTCAAACAAGTAAATTCAAAACACATTCTTAGAAAATAATTAATAGCAAAATAATATAGACATTGACAGAACTAAAAAACACTGTTTCACAACTTGATCAATTACGGCGAATCTTTATGCAACAAAATTATAAATTGTTACGATAATATGTTACTTATTAGCAGTTGTGACAAACTCTCCTCTTTCCCCCACTATGGCGCCTCTGGCGATGAACTAAGACAGTCTGATAGGAACTGCCGTAAAATATGGACATTTAATTCCAGCCCAAACCCCCCTCTTCCAAATTCTTGTATTTCCTTTTTATTCTTGTTTTATTTTATATGTGTTTTGTCTTTTCAATAAATAGTTAAAGTTAATTTCTGGCCTTTCATTATCTATGTGAATTGGTAAAAATACAAATAAACCCAGACCTCCCCCACACAGTACAATAAATAAGCATTCCAAAAATTGTATTTCTAAATTATATCTATTGGAGGTCCCCCAAGCCTTGATATTTTTTTAATTTAGTTATGGTTAATTGATAGACTTTATGAACATGCTCATTTAAATTGTTGGCTATTTTTAACAGTGCCATTTTATTAGGTACATGCCTAATATGTATTATACAGATGCAAAATAAGCAAGGGAATTGAGTTTTTAAACTTTATTTAATGAGCTAAATCTGAAACTTTTTTCAGAGAAAAAGGTAAAAATTTTTTTTTAAAATCAGAATAAAGAAATTACAATAATTAGTGAAATTAAATCATTACTATTTATTTAGTTGTTGTCTTGTCTATGTTATTCCTAAATATTTCCAAATGATTACTTATGTTAAAAATATTATAAATCTCTCCTTCAGTAAGGAGGGGGGGGAAAGAACCTTTAGTACACACAGTAAAAGACATGCATAATACATGCCGTTTACGGAAAGTTTGTCACCATGGAAATTTTTTTAGTATTAATCATTATAAATTTTTTTTAAAAAAAAGAGACTTGGAAGATTTAGTTATAGAAAGACAGTCAAGAATAAGGCAAAACAAGATAAAGTCAATAACTGGTAAAACTTCAGAAAACTGCTAAATTTAAAAAAATATAAGCTGGTATGTATAGTAATCATCATACAGTTTTATAAAAATAAAAAGATTAAAAAAAAAAATTGTAATCAGGGAGTTTTGAGCAAATTTCATCAACATTAAGTGATGATGAAAATATAGAAAGAGTTACAGTCAAAAAAAATTTTTTTTAACAGAGATTTTGTGCTTGTAGAAAGTTATTCATTTTATCTAAGACTGCACAACAGGATGTTTAGACACCAGCAATTAAAAAATAGAAATTTGTAAACAAAGCTTATCATGAGGTCATGTGAAAAAATGTCTAAAATTGAGCTTTAAAAGCTCAAAAGATATCCTTTATCAGAAGTTTTTAGAAGTCTCATTTCGAGGACATTTAATTTTGTTTGTTGTGGTTTTAAATGCATTTTACTATAATAATCATTACACACTCAATTTTAATCTATCTTGTTTTATCCTCCACTAAACATCAATTTTGAATTCCAACACTAAAAATTGTAAATGTTTACAAAATTAAAATGAAATATAATAATTAGTATAATTATAACTATCACTACTAACTATACTATACTTATTACCATAATTATTAACTGTAACAACTAATAAATAGTTTGACGAGCTTTGTACTGATGTTGCTTAGTTTAATTAAAACTACTATATGAAGAAATGAATTCTCACAATAAGATATTTATAAAAGAAGATCCGATTAATCCTACGATTTTCAAGTTGTTATTTTTCAATTATTTGTTATATATTAATTTTAAATGTAGTAAAATCAGTGGAAATTTTCTATAAAATAATCCAGTATTAAAACTTTTAAAAAATTGTAAATTTAAAAAATTGTAGGCACAAAATAAAAGGTCAGAAAACAATCAAAATCTAAAATATTGTGTTAAAACACAAAGACAAATTAGTAGCCCAAAAAAATAATAAATGAACTTTAAGTTGAAAAGAAATTAATGAACTTTAAATTTAAAAGAAATTAATGAGCTTTATAAAGTCAAAAAATTTAAATAACAAAGTTAAAAATCAAAAAAACTATTAAAATGATCATTTAATAAATGAACTAAACTACGAATTTTATCAAGTTAAAAAGCAAAATCTATAATTATGCAAGAATTTCAGGAAAAAGAAAGAATTAAATGGATTTTTCTGTTTCGAACATAGCAAAATTCTACTTTCAAAATTTACCTGATGATAAAAAAAAGACAATATCAATAATTCAATGTTTAATATATGTGCTGACATTGCCATAAATAATGTAAAAATAATTTATAATTAGTTTCTCCCAAAAATATTTTCTTTATACTGATGCAATTTTAGAGATGTTCTTAAAAAGTGATGATAAATAATCTAAATTTAAAAATAATACCACAAAAATTAAACTTTTGTAGAAATAACAAATAAAATTACTCTTTTATCAACAGATGCTCGTCGCTCCTTAGGGGCTTTAGTAGGGGAACTTTGACTATTCCCTGATAATACTTTTGCAACAGCTTCTTTGCTATCAAGCTAGGGTAAGAAATAAACAAATGAAATAATACTTAGCACAACATGAATGAAAAGCAATTCACAACACCAAGTAATTACATTACAGTACAAAGTACAATCCAAAAAATGCAAATGAAATTTATGTTTCATTTTACATAGAAAAGTGATATTTTTACACTAATTTACAGTTTCACTCACAACTAATTAAGCCAATAATAATCATGATTATCATATATTTCAAATGACATAAATAAATGAGCAAGAATATTAACAATCGCCTAAGTTCTGAATTAGTGCTGATTAGGAAGCATGAAAAAGTACAAATGTAAATTAAAAAAATAAATAAATAAATAAAAAAAAAAATAATAATAATAAAATTAAAAAAAATAACACATAAATAAGATTAATTTCTAAACAAAAAACATAATTTTTTTAACTTTGCAATAGCTAAAAATGTCCTTTCTTCTGTTTTTTTTACAGCTAAAAAAGTAAATGAATAAATAAAATAAAAAATAAATACATTTCCTTTATGATTTAAAGAAAAAGTTATGTATTAAGGAGACATTTCAACACAAATTAGTGTTAATTCTGAATGTGAACACTTGGTTAATCAAATTAATTAAGTGAGTGCATAGTAATTAAACCCAACAAAAGTGAAACAACAGATAGCAATTAAAAATAATAAATTTTTTGTAGTGAAAAAGAGAAAATGCTTTGAGTTATTCCTCAAGCTGACATTGATAAAATTATGATGCAAAAAACAGCAATTTTATTACTTAGAAAATGTTTCTTTCTCTCTAAAATTTTAAACAGTTCATTACATCCCTAATTTTTTATAAGGAATAATAATCGTAATAATAAAAATTCCAAAGAAAATACATAAATATTTTTATAATTATTTCTCAAACTAAAACAGTGAAATTTAAACACATAAAATCCAAGATGTGGAGGTACTAATCAAGTTACAACAGATATTCTCTTTACATTTCTATTTCTTTTTAAGAATATAACATGTTTATAGCAAATATAGTCCAATGATTTATTAAAAAATAATGCACAAGTTATAAAATCTTATTTTTTTAAAAGCTAAATACTTCTTTATGTTTTTATTTTAAATAAAAATAAATAAATAAACAGTTCAATACATCCCAAATTTTTTAAAACAAATAATAATCGTAATAATAAAAAAATCCAAATAAAATACATAAATATTTTTATAATTATTTTTCAAACTAAAACACTGAAATTTAAACACTAAAAATCCAAAATGTGGAGGTACTAATCAAGTTACAAAAGATTGAAATCTTTTTACATTTTGATTTCCTTATTTTTTAGAGAAATTTTTTTTAAATAATATGTTCACAGCCAATACAGTCCAATGATTTATTAAAAGATAATGCACAAGTTATAAAATCCCATTTTTTTTTAAAAAGATAAACACTACTTTATTTTTTTTTTAAACAGAAATAAATAAATAAATATCATCACACAATTAAATGGAAAGAAAGAAAAAAGTGTAAAGCTCAATTAACCTTATTTTTCACAGCTGAACCAAGTATTTGTAGAAACAAGTTAGTTTTTTGAGGATCATGACCAGCAACAACTTTTGAAGGCTTCAAGTTTACAGGCTGATTAGTAACAAGAGCTGTAAGGAGTAATTCAATTCGATAATTACTTAAAAGTTTTCTTATCATTTTTTTTAATTGCTACTACAGCTAAGAAATTTTTTTTCTTATTATTCTAATTAAAACTAAAAGTGGTATTTGTTTACTATAAAGTAATACGTAATATGAACTTATTATGCAATATTTCATGAAAAACATATTGTAAACAGCATGTAACTTAACAATTTTGCATTTATTAGACAATAAATAAGTTATTTATATAATATTTTAACAGGCCATATATAAGATTGAGTCTAGTCAAAAAAGGTAATTAAAAAATGAATATAAAACTGTTATTAGGAACTTACTTTTCAAAAAATTACTAAGCATTACGATTGCCGAAAAACGTTTTACTTATTTTATAGTAACTATAAGTTGAATATGAATTTGATAAATAAAATTGTAGATTTAGTCGTAATGACAACCAAACAAAATGATTTGACTTAAGCAAATAACAGTGGGAATAGAGAGAAAATTAAAGTAAATAAATGGATATACTAAAGTTTCAGTTCTGTAAACAAAAACCTTTTCCGGTGTCTAAACACCAAGTGATGGTAGAGAAAGTAAAGAGACAACACAAAATTTTTAGCTATCTGACTGTGATTTTCCTTCAATATTATTGGCCTACAGAAAATTAATCTCGCAATCTACCTAACTCTCGAATTCAAACTTTAAACAATTTGATTGCTATACCTTACTATCCAAAAATCAGTTCCAAAGTTTTAATAAATTTGAGTTTAAAGTAGCTTTTTCTTCCGTAGATAAACTAAATTTCACTGACCTTAAATACCCTATTGCTGATAATAATAGCTGGGGTATTTAGCAAATTTCATGTCAATGTGGTTTTGCAAACTCTGGACAAACTAAAAGTACACTTACATTTTGAATTTAAGAGCATGCAAGATATGTTCAAAATCAGGACATTAACCTATCTTCTATTGCTCTACATATCTGGAAATCACATCACAGGNACATATTGTAAACAGCATGTAACTTAACAATTTTGCATTTATTAGACAATAAATAAGTTATTTATATAATATTTTAACAGGCCATATATAAGATTGAGTCTAGTCAAAAAAGGTAATTAAAAAATGAATATAAAACTGTTATTAGGAATTTACTTTTCAAAAAATTACTAAGCATTACGATTGACGAAAAACATTTTACTTATTTTATAGTAACTATAAGTTGAATAGGAATTTGATAAATAAAATTGTAGATTTAGTCATAATGACAACCAAACAAAATGATTTGACTTAAGTAAATTAAAGTGGGAATAGAGAGAAAATTAAAGTAAATAAATGGATGTACTAAAGTTTCAGTTCTATAAACAAAAACCTTTTCCGGTGTCTAAACACCAAGTGATGGGAGAGAAAGAAAAGAGACAACACAAAATTTTTAGCTATCACTGTAGACTGTGATTTTCCTTCAATATTATTGGCCTACAGAAAATTAATCGACCAAACTCTCGAATTCAAACAATTTTATTGTTTTACCTTACTAAACGAAAATCAGTTCCTAAGTTTTAATAAATTTGAGTTTAAAGTAGCTTTTTCTTCTGTAGATATACTTAATTTCACAGACCTTAAATACCCTATTGCTGATAGTAATAGCTGGGGTATTTATCAAATTTCATGTCAATGTGGTTTAGCAAACACTGGACAAACTAAAAGTACACTTACATTTTGACTTTAAGAGCATGCAAGATATGTCCAAAATCAGGATATTAATCTATCTTCTATTGATCTACATAGTTGGAATTCACATCACAGGTTTAAGTTTTCTTTGCTAAAATCATTCAACACAGCTCTTCATTTTCTGAACTAGATTTTTGGGAATCCTTTTACATTTCAAAATTTTTTTTTTAAAATTATAATGTAGTTAATGATCTTTCTAGCATCCCACAGTTTTGAATATTTGGAACTCTATTTAAATTTAATCTGCTGCACTCTGGGGTTCCCACCAAATCCCCTACACTTTCTCCCTTCCCTTTTTATTTTCTTGTTCAAACTAGTTCCTCTGTCCCTACTTGTTAAACTACTTTGCATGTATTTGTCTCTTTACTTTCTCTACCATAATTTAGTGATTAGAGTATTAGACACTGAGGAAGGTCCTTGTTTATAGAACTGAAACTGTAGTACGTCCATTTATGGACCTAGCACAAAGAGTATACCTTACCCATTGTTGATTTAAACTTTATCTGTACTCAATAGAGTATAGAACTAAAATAATTTTGGGATATTTTGATAGAATAATTTTAAAACATTCTAGAACAATCCGTTTGTTGTTAAAAAGAAAAAAATAGCATGGCAATTTAAAAAGCTCCAAAAATAATTACTAACATAGTAACAACATTAACTTTCATCTTCAAAGCAAATCTTGAAATCTAATCAAGGACTTCTGAATAAAATTTCAAAATAACTTTGAAAAACTCCAAAAAACCTGGTGTTGTTTTGAAAAACACCAATAAATACCAGGTTTATAGATAAGCTGTTTGTTTTTTAGAAGAAAAAAAATTATTATTTCAAACTCTGCTTCATATGCAAGTAAAAAGTTGGATAAAATGCAATTCATTATAAGCAAACTATATATAATCATGCTTAAAAGCATATTATATATTATAAGCAATCATAATTTAAGATTATGATAGAGATCACAATTAGAGTTAATGAAGTATAATTACAAGTAATGATCAACATTTAATTTTAATTACAATTGTAATTTTTTTAAAGTTAAAAATCATGACTGCATGAAATTAAGAATATAGAATAATTAATAACTGCACTCAATTATACTGAGCTCAATTCTGCTCTGAGTTACCAAATAAATCAGTAATACAGAGAACATTTTGAAATATATATTTTAAAACACACAGATCTAAACTAAAATATAAAAAATAGGTACAAATGGATTACCTAAAACATCTACAGCTTTCTGCAAAAACAGGACTTTGCTTTCCTTATCCTATATTAAAAATTAATAAATAAATCACAATATCTTAAAAGCTTTACAATAATTATTCAAACAAACAAAAAATACATTTTACAAGAATTTATGATATACAGTAATAGTAGAAAATTTAGATTTTTTGTTAATAACCTTATTTGCCTTATAGTAGATTTACATAAAATATAGATGCATAAAAAAATTTAAAGAGCATCATTATAACCAAAAACAAAGTTTTAATTAATTACAGTTCACAAAGGGCACCAAAAAACAAATAAAGATTAATAAGAGCATGTTTCTTATTTATGTTTACAATCATTATTAAATTTCTTAGTTGAAATCTTGATTTAAAATCTAAGTAAACGTAGTAAAAAAAACAACACCTAAGTGAAATTTATAAAGTTTTAATCTTAAATAAAAACATTTTCAGACCTTCACATTTTCCGAATGTAGTTCCGTTGATGCATAAAGACCTTTTAAGAAACCAGAAGTCTTGATAATCTAAAATATAGAATTATAACAAATCATGAATAACAAATGAACATATGACTTTGAAATAGTTACGTGGACGATTTAATATTTAATGAAACTAACGTTAGTTATGATATCATGTAAAAACCTAAAGGGTGGTTTTTTTAAGTTCTTTTCAGTCAAAGTCGGTTTTTTAATAATACTTCCTAGAATTTCTTGTGTTTTCTTGATTATTGCTGGATCGATTTCTTCAGCCATAGCAAAATTTTCTGCCTAAGATAAACAATAATCGAAAATCATTTTGAAAAAGTCAAAATAAGAGTGACAGCAATTGTATAAGGTTTTCGACACACAGCTTGTAACTTATCCAATCCTAAACAAAATAATCGATTAAAAAATCCACGGTAGCCAAAAGATACAGATCTGACCTCATATTATTTTTCTCTGTTTTTCAAACGGTGGCAACGTTTTAAACGCCCATTGACGAAAAGTGGAGTAGCGGACGAAGTTCCGAAGTTGGTCAAAATGAAATCACGAGTAACACTCATAAGCAGTACAGTTCAGCAGCTGAATGTATCATATCAACATGAATAAGGTTTCGTCGTGATATAAACATGTTATTGTTATTGGATGATTGGAATGAATGTATTTATTCATTATGAGCGAGTGTTTCGTCTGCTATTTTTGATTTATAATACAACATAATTGTGGCAAATTTTCTAATGTATTACTCATGCGTTTGGATATATTTAAAAACATTCTTCTGGTGAAAGTCTTCCCAGAATGCGAACACCAAAGGTAATGTAATTAATTTATTATACATTATTATTCACCCATTTGTTTTGAATGAGTAATGTCATAGGTTCTCAAGTTGTGTTTACATTTGAATGTTAGTAATTATCTTATCGAAAAAAGTAAAATAATTTATCCCTCACTCAGAATCGGCGCTAAAATAGTGATAAAGATTTCCTCTTTTTTTTCTTCTTTTAAGCAATTTCCCCATATTTTTTATTGAGCCTAAGTTTTTACGTATAAATTTGATTAAAGTATTTCTCTGCTGACTTTTTTCTCTTATATTTTTGTTTAGAAAACAAGTTCATCTTTCATCATTTCATTTACATTCATCATTTTATGAAATAATTGTTTATTGTTTGAAGCAAACATTCGTCTAAGTAAAAATATATAGCGAAAAATATAGTGTGTATCAGTTTGACAATAAAAAAACATTGTTTGACTTGTGTAAAAATATATAACACACGAATATATACTACAAAATATTATACTACAATATTTTGAGAGGGATATTGTGGTAAGTATTTTGGAAATTCCACAGAAAGTAAGGCATAGATGATTTATTTTTCTTCAAATTAAATTGACGTAATCTGCATAATTTTTTAGTTGAAAGTACAATGATTACTAAACTTGAAAAACTTTTTCTATTTCTCCATAATCTTTTTTGGTAAACAGTCTTGAAAAAAAAATTTTTTTTAAGTCAAAAATTTATGAATTTCAATGTGAATTTCCAAATACCAATTAATATAGTAATATTGTTTGCTTTGTTTGTATTATTGTGAGCAATTTAGAATATCAGTTTGACAATCAGTAAACATTTTTTGTCTTGTATGTAAATATATTACATGCTTGGGATCAACATTTTGAGATGGATTTTATGCTAAGTATTTGGGCAATTTCATGGAAAGTAAGACCAAGTAGATGAATTTTGTTCTTCAATTTCATTGATGTATTCTATATCATTTTTAGTTGAAAGTATGATGAAAACTAAACTAGAAAAACTCTTCCAAATTCTCTGTAATCTTTTTCGGTAAATGGTCTTGAAAATAACTTTTTTTAAATTAAAAATTTATGAATTTCAGTGTGAATTTCCAAATACCAGTTCATATAGTACCTAATTTTGATTGCTTTGTTAATTCATTTTTATAATATTAGTAGGTCTCTTTTTAAGTTAATAATGACAAATTTTTTTTTAAAAAAAAGTTTGTTTTATTGTGATAAAAGAATTCTTTGAAATGTGACAAGTGTAATCAAAAACTTATAAAAGTTTATCCTAGAGTAGGAATATTCTTTTCAAATCAAAATTTTCGTTATAAATGTGCTGCATACCTGTATTTATACAATAACCAAATTCGCAAATTCGGATCCCTTAATGCTGTTCAATTGAGAATTTGGATCCCTTTCAAATTGTTAAATTTAACCAAGCAAAAAATTTTTCAATTTAAAATAAAATCAAAATAATTTCAATTTAAGATGGTTGGTAGGGCACTGGGCCTTTGTCCAAGAGTTTGTGGGTTGGATCCCCTCTGGCCGAAGACTCCCCGTGTAGTAAATGGTGATCGATGCACGTTAAATCTGTCGAGTTGCAAAGTCCTCCATGTTCCCATAACAAATCAATACCTCTGGGGATACTGAACCAGGAGTTTCCTTATCTTCTGGATTGGTTAAAAAATACAAGGCTACGGAGTTGAGTATTAGTCGTCGTAAACCCAAAATTGGGTTGGCTGTTCAACAATCGATATAAAATATTAAAAGATTTTTTGATAGAAAGCTTGGAAGTAAAAGCAAATCGATATGCGACACCACAATACATGACAAAAGTAACCCATGAAATTGCCCATTATAGAATGTGGGTAAATTATGCTTCTATTTTTCCGTATGACAGTTAATAGTATAGAAAATGTTGTAGTCTTCAATTTACTGAAACCAATGTAATAAAATTATGATTTTAGTAGTTTCTATGGCATTTTTATGCATGGAAAAAATCATACTTGTTAATAATTTTCTAATACTATTAATCTTAGTATAGTTAGTTTGTATGTAATAGTACGAAAGCTAAAAATTGCCAAATCAAATGCAGGGTAAATAACACGAATCCAAAAAAAGAAACAAAATGGTAGGGGAATTGATAACTAAGCTAACCTACCATGGGTTAGAAATGAGTGGGAAAAAATAATCGCTTTGTCAAAATTACATAGTTTTGTTCGCGATTCCTCCTTAGTATTTTCTATATTACACCCATTGTTCCTGATTTTCTGAAAGACTTCCTGATTTTAAAGTTTTCTTCTTCCTTTTTACCATATGATAGAATTTTCCTGTTTTATTTTTATTTTCACCCCAATTTTTTACTTAACTCTTTAAGGTACTGATTTGGTTTTAAAGGTAAAAATGTAAGGCAAAATTATTTCATTGTTAAAGATTTACAATAAATAGATTTTGTAGTAAGAGTTAAGAGCCAACTAAACTGTATTGAGTACATAGTTAAATATGTATTCGAACTTTAAGTGCAGTTTTGTTTTTTCAAATCAAAATTTAACTAATGAATACCAAATCCAATTAATTTTGTCATGGTTTTTCTTTTAATTTTTTTGGCAGAAGCTACTGCCTATTATCATTGCAATATTAATAATCTAAAACATAGAGGGTTAATACAGTTCTATTTCCTTTATTAATTTGGGAAGTTCTTATATATTACTGCTTTTCAATTTAAGTTGAGTCAAAGTATTTTATTTGGATTTAAGTTGTGTTAAAGTATTGTTTAGTGGGTTGGTACATGTATGTATTATAGTCGTAATAAAAGCGTGTTGTTCATAAGAAATTATTCATACTTAAACATGATTCTGAAATCTATACATATTTCAGAATCATGTATTATTAAAGTTCTCATCTGTTGAAAAATTAGATATGTAATTGAATTAAGCTTTATCATGATTAAGAAAATGAAGTTAGGTTTTGTCATTTAGCTTAATCTTCAAGTTTTTTTTTTAACTATGTACTCATTTTATTCAGATTAATTTAGCTTAATTTCCAAATTTTCTACAAAAAGAAAAAAAAACTAATGTAATATTATACTATGTAATAATGTAATATATACATATGTAATGTAATGTAATATTATAAAAATTTATTTGGTTGGATTTTCGAAGTTTGACATTTAACTTAATTTTAAAATTTTTTACCTAATGAGACTGATGCAACATTTCTTTAATTCATTTAGTGTGATTTTCAAAAGTTTCTTACCAAAAAAAAAAAAAANAAAAAAAAAAAAAAAAAAAAAAAAAAAAAAAAAAAAAAAAAAATTTAACATTACATAAATTTATTTAGCTTGGTTTTTAAACTTATCTTACACACACACGAAATATATGTATATTTATATAAATTTAATTGGCTTGAGTTTCTTAAGAAAAAAAAGAATTTGTTTTAGAGGCAGTGTTTAGTTATTCAGTATATTACTTCTTTTGAAATGCATAAAGATGTCACTAAAAGGAAAAAAAGTTATAAGTTTCCAGAGTGCTTGACCTTGAACAAAGTAGTTTAGATCTAAAAAAAAAAAAAAAAAAAANAAAAAAAAAAAAAAAAAAAATCCCGTTTTTTATGATTATTTTAGTAAAGCTTTTTCATTTTTTAAAAATCTCAAACTGTATTCACATCAAGAAAAATTTTTTACACATCGTTTTTTTTTTCTTTTTTTTTTTTNTTTTTTTTTTTTTTTTTTTTTTTTTTTTTTTTTTTTTTTTTTTTCTAAAATTAATATCCAATTTGGGATAAAATATAAAACAGATTAGGCAGAATAATCGATAAAATCATCGAAATATTCTTTATGTGTACAGAGTTGTATTACTTTTTTTTCTTTTTCTTTCTATCATTCAACTGTTTGGAGGTCTGTTTTTATCAGTTTGACGAAAGAAGAGGAAGATGCTTGTCATAAACAAAATATATAAGTCACTTTAGGTAAAGAAAATAAATTGGAGAGAAGAACTTGTTTTCACACGTAAAATATTATAATCGGCTAAGAGAAAAAATTTCATGCCTTTTAAAAGAAGGATGCATATTTGTTTCGCGAATTAGAAACCTTTTACCTATTACTCATTCCTATTTTCAGTGGGACCCATATTGCTGTCACCTTTGTAAGGTCTCAACTATGACGCAATTTTTTTTATTAACACTAGAAAGACGGAAAATTAGTATATACCTATATTGCCGAAAAGCAGTCAAAATGTCTAGATTGTGAATGCGTCAATAAATTTGTTTAAAATTAATTTTTAAAATTTTTTATATTATTTACAGTTATGTAACAAGTTATTAGTAAATATTAACAATGAAAATGTTTTTATTTTGTTCAAAAAGTCACAAAATTCTAAGAAATTGTGTCATTGTATACATCATTGTTTTTCTAATTGAAATTAAAAGCAGTCAAAATGACTTCCTTAGGCAATCTAGTGTTAAACATTATTCCTTCGTCAATGCCATCATTTTTTATTTCATGAATAAATACGATTCAGTATAAGAACGAATTCGTTGAATTTTTTTGATCGATTTATTGTGAATCTAACGTATTTTTACACACGCACTTAAATGTATATTAACCTATGATTTTTCTTGTGTGTTCATGAGCAACATATATTCCGAGCTTACGTAAGAAACTATATTCCCTATTCTGTTAAAATTCCCTTGTAAATTGTGAAAATTTTAACATTTAGAGAGATATGAACAATGTTGACAGAGGACAGTAAATTCTTTTTATCTAGAAAAATTCCTTTGTAAATTACAAAAATTATTAAATTTTGTAAAATGAAAAAAGGAAAAAAGAAGTTTAAAAAGTCTGATGGAAAGAAGATAACAATTCGCTGTTTTTTTTTTTTTTTTTTTTTTTTTTTTTTTTTGCATAAGGTGAGGAGTACAAAATCACTAAAAAATTTTGAACGACGTTCTCTGCGTTCTTCTACATTCTGTTTTAATTTTCTTTGAAAATAGTTGTAAATTTTAATATTCAATTTTGACGCCAA